TCCACTACCACCCTCTGGGTGCGACTCTCTAACCAGTTGGCGACCCATTGGACTGTATGGGTGTCTACGCCACAGTCCCCCAGCTTCCTAATGAGAATGGGGTGAGAGACAGTATCAAAAGCCTTCCTGAAGTCTAGGAAAACTATATCCACTGCCACCCCTGCATCCAATGATTTAGTGACCTGGTCGTAAAAGGCCACCAGGTTGGTCTGACAGGACCAGAGCTCAGACCTTGGACTACTTTGCAGACTAGTACCAGGACCTTAAAGCTTATCTGGTATTGGATGGGAATTTAACATAATTTGAGCTATGATTTGCTTCTATTGGATACCATATTTTCTCACACAATGCACACTACCCCCACCACCCCAAAAAAAACAACAGCTGGGGAAAACTGAAGTGTGCATTATATGCGAGGAAAAGGGCTCCCCACAGGTCCAGAAACACCAGACCAATACAAGCTGGGTACCAACTGGCTAAGCAGCAGCTGTGCAGAAAAGGACCTGGAGTTACAGTGGACAATAAGCTGAATATGAGCCAGCAGTGTGCCCTTGTTGTGAAGAAGACTAATGGCATACCAGGCTGCATTAGTACAAGCATTGCTGGCAGATTGAGGGAAGTGATTTTTCCCCTCTATTTGGCACTGGTGAGGCCACATCTGAAGTAGTGTGTCCAGTTTTGGGTCCCCCACTACAGGGCAGACAAATTGGAGAGAGTTCAGCGGAGGGCAACACAAATGGTGAGGCGGCTGGGGCACATGACTTCTGAGGAGAGGCTGAGGAAACTGGGCTTATTTAGTCTAGAGAAGAGAAGACTGAGGTGGGATTTAATAGTAGCTTTCAACTAGCTGATGGGTGGTTCCAAAGAGGATGGAGCTAGACTGTTCTCAGTTGTGGCAAGTAACAGAACAAGGAGCAATGGTCTCAAGTTGCAACAAGGGAAGTTTAGGCTGGATATTAGGAAAACTCTCTCACCAGGAGGGTGAAAGAAAAGGTGAGCAAAGCACTTGAACAGGTTACCCAGACAGGTTGAGGAATCTCCATCATAGATTCATAGATTGTAAGGGCCTGGAAGGGACCTTGCAACATCTGTGGGTCCAGCACCTATGCACCAGGCAGGAAAGACAACTGGAGTCAGATGAACCCAGCAAGATGACCATCCCATCTCCTCTTGAAGATTTCCAGGATAGGTGATTGCACCACCTCTGGAGGGAATTTATTCCACGGTCTCGACACCCTAAATGTGAAGAAATTTTTCCAAGAGTTACACCTGAAAAGGTCTTCCAGGAGTTTGTGGCTATTAGTCCTGGTTTTCCTCAAGGATGCCCTGGTGAACAGTTATTTGCTGAGCCCTTGAAGTATTCTCCTGATGTAGCAGTAAGCTGCTAGCAAGTCCCCTCTTAGCCTTCTCTTTTTTAGGCCAAGGAGGCCCAAGTCCCTCAGTCTTTCCTTGTATGGCTTGCCTTGCAAGCCTCTGATCATGTAAGTGGCTCTTTGGACTCTCTCAAGCTTTTCCATGTACTTGGTGAAGTGTGGCACAGTACTCCAGCTGCAGTGTCACCAATGCTGAGTAAAGTGGAAGAATCACTTCTTTGGTTTTTCTTGAGATGCATCGGTTGATGCATGCCAGAGTATTGTTTGCCCTGCTGGCTACAGAATTGCACTGATGGCTCATGTTCATACTATGGTCTATTATTACCCCCAGGTCCCTTTCAGTTGTGGTCAGTCAGTATGGCGCCACCAAGCCTGTAAATATGTTGGGGATTGTTCATCCCCAGATGGAGCACTTTACACTTCTCAATGTTGAACTTCATCTGGTTCCAATCTGCCCCACTTGTCAGCCTGTCTAGGTCCTCCTGTATCTGTAATATATTTTCAAGAGTGATCACGCTCCCCCATAACTTGGTGTCGTCTGTGAACTTGGCCAGTGAGTTCTTCACCCCCACATCCAAATCATTGATAAAGGTGTTGAAAAGCACTGAACCAAGCACTGACCCCTGAGGGACACCACTGGCCACTTCTTGCCAGGACTACACAGATCCATTTGTTAGAACTATCTGGGTCCTACCCCACAGCCAGCTTCTTACCAACCTAACTGTTGAGCAGTTAAGTCTGCAGTCCTCCAATTTTTCCATGAGAACATCATGGGATACCAGATCAAAGACCTTTTGGAAGTCTAAGTCCACAATGTTAACCTCCTCTGTCTCTTATCCAAGTGGCGAGTTACCTGGTCATAGAAGGAGATGAGACTGGTAAGACAAGATCTGCCCATGATGAAGCCATGCCAGCTGTCGTTCAGAAACCTACCTTCTGCAAGTGTACTGCACATAGACTCCTTGATGATTTTTTCCAGGATTTTCCCTGGAATAGAAGTTAACCTAACTGGCTTTTAGTTGCCTGCATCCTCTCTCCTCCCCTTCTTGAAGATGGGCACAACACTGGCCCTCTTCCAAGCTTCAATGAACTCCCCCAAGCACACAAATTTGGAAGAGTTTCGCCAGAGATCCTGCAATGACTTCAGCCAGCTCCTTCAGCACTCTCAGAGGAAGTTCACCCAGCCCTGCTGACTTATAACTGTCTAATTTTTCTAACTCAATGTCAACAGTAGGAAGGCAGTCATTCCCACTATGCCCATTCTGAACCTTATCTAGTACGATTTTCCCCTTAGTCTGGTAAAATACCGAAGCAAAGTAGTCATTCAGGAGTTCAGTTTTCTCCTCAGTGATGGCAACCAGCTGTCTGGAGTTGTTAAGCAATGGCCCCATGCTTCCATTTGTTTTCCTCCTGTTCCCTATATACTTAAAGAAGGACTTATTGTCTTGGATTTCTGTTGCTAGTTTTAATTCAGTCGCTGCCTTAGCTTTTCTAATCTGCTCCCTACAAGTGTGGGCTGTTGTTGTATAGTCCTCCTTGGGGACTGTCCCAAGCTTCCATTGTTTGCATGCCTCTTTATTCTTTTTCAAGAGGACCATGGTCATACTCCTATTAAACCAAGAGGGCTTCCCAGACCTTCTGCTACTTTTCCTCCACATGGGAACAGACTTCTTTTGTGTTTCGAGGATTGTGTCCTTGAGGAACAACCACTGTTCCTACACTCCTTTCACCTTTGGTCCCTTTCACTGCAGCACTTCCCCTACTATTGCCCTGAGCCTGTTGAAATTTACTTTTTTGAAGTCCAGAACTCCAATCCTGATAGCTGATTTGCCTGCCTTGTGACAGACAGTGAACATAATGGTTTTATGGTCGCTGTTGACCAGGCTATCCTCTATATTTAAGTCACTCACCAGATCATTTCCTTTGGCCAAGACCAAGTCTATGAGAGCATTACCTCTGTTGGCCCATGCACTTCCTGAGTCAGGTAGAGCTCTTCAATACAGGTCAGGAAGCAATGCGACCAATCCCACTTAGCCGAGTGTTCCTCTGGGGGGGCTGGACTAGATGACCTCCTGAAGTCTCTTCCAATCCTAATTTTCTGTGATTTGTTAATGTGCGTGTGGTACAGTGGTGGCAGTATTAATTGCCCCAGCTTCCCATTCCTGCAAAATTTCTGGATCTGACCCACCATACAGGTCCACATCCAACACATGGCTCAAGATCAGCACATGGTCCCAGAACTAGTGTCCAGTGCTAGACTCCGGGTTCAGCCTTCAGCTCCAGCAAGTGTACCCCAGTTAGGGAATGCGGGTCCCAGCTCTAGAGACCCCAAACCTCTGGTACTTACCCACATTCCATGGTAAGATAAGTTTCCTTTTTTGGGGCGTTGCAAAAATAGGGTGTGTGTTACATTCAGGGGCATGATATACAGTATAACCTCGTAAAAATACACTATATCAGGGAGTAGTGGTGGCCAGTCCCAGAGCAGTGGAGGGAGAAGCTTGCACACAGTGGCTGCTGCCACCATCCACCCACCCCCCACAACCAGCCACTGCTCTGGTTTCAAAAATCTGGAATTTTCAAATTTCTGGCAGGTGTTCGGTCCCAAGGGATGTTCTAATCAGGCTAAATTCACCTGGTACACATATATTTTCTTAAGCAAAAAAAAACCAAGATCTGGAAATGGTGAAGCATTTAAAACTAGAATAGCTTAAGCCAGTGCTTCATCATTTGATAATCCATTGTATGTTCAACGTATTTTGCCTCCTGCAGACTGCAGGGCTTTCTTTACTGAGAACAGTTTGAAATGGATATAACGTATTTCTTACCTGTTGACTCTTTTCCTTCCATATGCATGTTGCTGCAGGAGGGCCTGTATTACCCTTCATTACAGACAATTCCAGTTTTAGAGAGTACATCAAATCAAGCTCCTTTGCTTCCATAGCACGAATGCTCAAATATTTCCACTGAGAACTGCCCTAGAATTTGTACCTCGGAAAATTCTAAGATGAGCTCAAAAGAACTATATATGTGTTTAAATGATAAACTCCTTTCAAGTTAGTGAATGTAAAAAACCTGTCAGAATTAGCATCTGGTGTAGAAGTGACAGTTCTAATTGTGACAATTTTAAAAGTTGATTTTTTTAAATGTTGATAAAGACCAGAATTTATTAGCGAATATTTACAGATGGGCCTCAAGAGAAATTCTGTGCTAATAAGTTTGGGGTTTTCCTATAATGGTAATCCCTATGCATGAGAGCTGAATGGATAATCTACATATGACTGAAGAGAAACTAGGCTTTACACCAGCTTGATTTTAAACATGTACTTATGTTTATTATATTTTGCTACTCCACTCTCTTAAAATGGTGGCCTTAGGAAAAGCTACTTTGGCAGGCGATTGCAAAGATTCCTGTGGAGAGGAAGTGAAAAGACTGGGCACACAAACAAGGGCTGCTTCCATGTTCAAAGCACAGGGGATAGTTCATAGAGCAAAATGCAGTCCTAAGTAAATGGGTTTCAGGCAATTTCAGTGTTAAGATAACATCATTAAGAGTAGAACAGATTGTGCTCAAACCCTGCTGTTTATAATTAACACATTGCTTCCAAATACTCCAGGGTCCCTGGTAAATAGTCCTCTGCTCAGATCCACCCAGACCAATCAGAGTATTTTCATAAGAAGCCATGCTGGGCCAGCACCTGTTTGGACAAATCCAAAACAGCCAAAACACTCTTCTCCCTGGCCAGCTAAGTAGATAGATGAACACAGCTTGCCTTAGTCATTGTCACAGTGTCCATATGGCTGTGAAGCTTGTTTTCACAAGAAATCGTACAAGTACTTTATTATGTCGAAGTTCACAGTCCTATAAACAAAAATACAGTATATCAGAACAATCACCCCTACAGCGTGTGGACTGTAACCTGTTTGGAGACAAGACATACAAGATGCATCTTTCAGTCAAGAGGAAGTGATACTCCCAAGATAAACGAAAGAAAGAGCAATTACATTGCTAAATTACAATTCTTAAATTCTAACCCCGTGGCATTACTGCCAGGAGAAAGCGCTGCCTGATTATTCCAACATTTTAAGATTGAAGAAAACGGTAAAACAATACCTTCTCCAAGATTTTTCTTTCTGATCATTAGACTGTAAAAACAAATGTAGTTCTAAGTCAACACCAATTTATCTTTTTTATTCTGGTAAACATGGCACACTAGTTGGAGATGCAGAGCAGTAATCTATTATGCTATTGAACGTTTTGTTCCTCTTCCAAACCACCTGTTTTAGCATGTACTGCGTAACTCCTTCATCTGTACTCATTTGTAGTCTGCGTTCTTTCAGTCTTGACACTAGTTGACCCATGTTTGCAGCTAAATTTGAAAAATCCAAGAATGCTACTCAATGGGATAGAAGATTTTAATGTATACTTTTGTACTTTGATGGCAGGAAGAATGAAATAGCAGTAGAATAAAACATATAATTAATTTTTTTCTCCAAATTCACTCTGCTGTACAATCTAACATTCAGACTTTGGGGTTTAATGTTTGAATAAATAACCAAAATTACAGGATATAATGACAAGCATAAAATAAAATGTGTAAAAAAGTATTCAGTGCTGCAAAAATAACTGCTTATGATGCTAAGCAAGATTAACTAATTGGATGTCTTATTTGTCAGGCTACAATCATTTAATAGTCTTAACTCTTACATCACTTTCCAATCTAATTTCTCTAAAAGTTTCCATTGAAGTATTATGTTGGACACAAAAAAGTTTAGAAATAGCCATGACACATAACCAATAGATACTGCTTCTGGGGTCTGTTTCAATAAACTATTAATAATTCAATAGAAATGAACCACCCTAGTCACGACTAAACTACAATGTTATGTACAGGAACAAGAACTTATATTGCCTTACCATATGTTAATACGGTCACTGTTCCTGACAAGTGGTAACCTTAGCAATTAAATGAAATTATTATCCTGTCATAACAATTAGAACCACTAGAAATCATATAAGACCCTCCAGATTCTAACATTTATAAGTTTCTTGCTTCAGTGGTAAAAACCAAAATGGCTGAGCTTAGTTATCTGGAGTAATTTCAGTAAGAATGTGAAATTATCAACAACATACCAGCCCTTTGCTTTCAAACTAAAGCAAGCAAAAAAATGGGAAATCTGCAGCAGAGGAGATGATGAGCCTACAACAAGGAATCCCTCAGAGCGGGGAAGGCTGGGGTTGCACCTCTCATTCCAAAATAACTTTGCCAACTTTAATTTTTTTTTTCAAAAAGGGAAGGAAACTGGGCTGTACTTTGCTCTGTAGCACCGCAAGGATAAAAAAATGTGGAAATGCTTGATTAGGAGAGAGAACTCACGAGTCTGTCCCCTTTGCACTCATCAGACCTGCACTCCTGGGTAAGAGCAGAGAAATCCATTGACCCCTATGACTGAGACTAATAACAAATTATTTTAGTACTATTCATTTAGGGGAAGGGTAGCCTGCCTCCTTGAGACATGTCTGAGGTAAAAAATTAGCTCCCCTTTTTCTGCTGCTGCTAGGATACCCTGGCTCGTATCAGGGAGAAGCAAGCAGCTGGGACAGAATTCTGCTAAAGGCAGCGGCATCCTCACACAATAAAGCCATCGTCTTTAAGGTCTACAGGCATAAATCTCTTCAGATCGCATATTATCACAGTTTTACCCTGCTGCTCGCACCAAGGTGGAAAATGCCATACACTTGGATCACCACAGAAATCAATGTATTTAAAAACTACTTTTAACTACCCTTTAAAACATGAGTGAGAGAGTGAAAACTGGAAAAGGGATGAAGGTGGAAAGGAGATAAAAAATAGGGAATGAAAATGAGAAAGGAAAAGATAGAGATGCTGGCTTACGTCACACGCTAAGAGATGCCAGCACTGTATGTAGCATCTCCGAGAGATGTATGGCTATTGAGATTTGGAAGTGGTAAGGCTTGTGAAGAGTCACTCTCTTGCAGGAGGGAGTTCTCTGGTGCAGTCTGTCCTCTGCCCCATGCTTCCCAGCACTGCTGGGCATTTCCGTGGGTCCTGTGAAATGCAGCTTTTGTGGAGGTCCAAGCTGTAGAGGGGAAGGTGATCGCTCAGGTAGTCTGGTTCAGTTTCATGGAGAACATGAGGACAGAGTCCATGGACTGGACTCTGCATTCAGGGCAGAGCCAGTGCAGAGAACAGAGCACCTGGGCGATTTTGCTCACAGCAATCTGTGTTGCTAAGCAGATGGGATGCTGTGTTTTGTACCAGTGGGAGCTTTTTCAGGACATCATTCATGTGGCTGCATTCCTGAGAAGAGCGAGTTACACTAATGAAGCCTGGAGGTCATGGCTGTGTTAGCTCAATCAGGTCTGAATCAGACTAGGTCTCATTTTCTGTCCAGTTGCAAATGGAAATGGGCATCTTACACTGCCAAGATTACCTAGGCATCTTGCACCACAGAGTCCAAAAGGGCTCAAAGGCTGTGGGATATAAGAACCTAAAAATATGGGAGTCTATTTAAAGGCCAATCCTTCAGCAGTGGCTGTACCTGAGAAGAACAGTTCTTTAAAGTGCTTCCCTGCTTCGTACTACAGAACGTCTGCCCTGGGTTCAGTTTTAGTGAGGTAGTGTCCCTCCAAGAGCTGATGTTGTGTTTGGCCAGACACTGAGAAAGCTGGTGCTCTTTACATTTGATGCGCAGGGGATGAAGGGCTGATGGTAGTTGATGTCCTAGAGATACACTGCTGCATATGCTGTTTTCATTGACTCTTAACTGCTTCACAGTACTGAACAACATGGGGAAAGAACTCAACTGTGCCACGCTCCAAAAGGACTTCAGAGGAGCAACCATTTTATTGCTAGCTTAATTTAATTTATTGGATTGGCTTATGTCAACTAGGGACCCCTTGAAGAAGACAGACTATAAGAATCCTCATTCTGTTATTCTATCCTTGCAACAAATACTGTGCATCAGTTAGGGTTGGGCGAGCATAACATGCCTCTTGGCAGTGCAGTAAATTGACATTTATAGCGATATTTCTATTGAAGAAGTCTTTGTATTAGAGACAAAGAACGTTCATCACAGAATACAGCTAACACAGTCTCTGGTCTGACTTAAGTATGCCTTTGCAAATTAAAACTCACTTTAAATAGACTGAGCTGAACCCTCCCTTAGTAATTCTATTTACATCAATGGAGTTACACTTCTAAATTGAAGGCTGGAATTTGGTTGCTGCTAGATTACTTCTTGAAGCAACAAGAGGAAAAGAATTAGGCTGGAGTATAGCCAACAGCAGGATGAAGAGAGAAGCTGCTTGAATGATGCTGATTTGCCCAAGAATATTTCTTTCAAACTATAGTTTAAATGACTAATATAATCTGATTATACAATATCTATCATTGGGGATTTCTGTTATGTCTTCTTCTTATAATCCTTTCCTGTGGTTTCCTCATACTTTACAGGACACCTATTTTCTAGCATTCTACATTTGCATAGTCTCCTTTTGATAATCTGTCGCCTTCTGCTTCTGATTGGATTATTAAAGCGAGTTCCCTCCCCATTCCCAAAACAGAATAGAAAAAATGCTAGCATGTATTTTAAGGACAATCCAAGGATATCTTTACTTAATAAATATGTCTTGATTTCAGAGAGATCCTTTTTGGACACAATTATGTGCTTAATTAGAATTTGTAAGCGGAAATCTAAAATGTTAACTAATTGCTACTGAAAGCCTTTGGGGTTTTGTGTTTCATTATTTTTGAAACTAATAAAAAGTAAATTAAAAAAGATGATATTCCAGTATTCTTATTAGACATTATGCAAATTTCTTCTCTACTGCTCTTCTAGGCAAGCCCAAATCAATATTTAAGGTCCCCATATGCCACAGCCTGAGCCTAATGAAATTTAGAGAACTTGCTCTCTTGAATCCCATTTTTTAAAGATAATTTTGCAACATTTTGATAAATGAATTAACCCCAGAAGGCTGCAAACACCAAAGAGTTAGTGTACCTGACCTGGCAAAGACAGAACCCTGGAAATGCCTTAAGGCATCTCTGGGCCATGGGAGCAAAAATGAGCCACAGCTTTCTGCTCTGACTGAAAAGGAAATCTTATGAGTGGGAAAAAAATAAATACAACTTTGTAGAATAAAAATTCTGCAAAGTAGAATAGTAAACACCACTGCAATTAGTTTGGCTTTGTGCACTTTGGACTACCCGCTGTAATGGAAGAATAAAACACAACAAAACATGATTGATTCTATTTGTATAAGGTACCAAGATGATTTCTGAAAAAATAAAAAAATGAAGGAAGAGCTCCTCCTCATATTTTTCAAAAATATATCCCCCTTAGAAACAGGACAAATCTTCCTATTACTGCTTTCCTGTGTGAAAAACCTTCAATGAATCAAGTGGTGTATAGGAACTTACAGCATCATCCTAACTAAGGACTTCAGTTTTCATGCCCCATCCTCTCATGACAAAAACTCAGGGATGTAGAACTGGAAAGAACTTTGCTGGTCATGAAGCTCAGCCCCTCAATATCACAGGTGGATTATGTTGATCAAGTGCCAGCAGGCCAAGGCACTTAAAGGAGCCCACCCCTACCCCAGCCCTGGAACAATCGATAGGCAAGGCAAGGGCCCCCAAGGGGATACTTGCATGCCTGTACACGAATGCCCTGAGCTTGGGGAATAAACAGGAGGAACTCGTCCTCCTGCTCAACACAAACAATTCTGATGTCATAGGGATAATGGAGAGCTGGTGGGACTCCACCCATGACTGGACCATGGGTATAGATGGCTATACCCTGGACAGGAGGGATCGAGTAGACAAAAGGGGCGGGGGTGTAGCTCTCTATGTCAAGGAGAGTTACGCATCCCTACAAGCTGACTTTGGGGCCCAGGGTGGATAACTAGAGACCCTCTGGGTTAAAATTCATGGGGAACACAGCACAGGGGATACAATGGTGGGAGTCTCCTATAGACCTCCCTCCCAGAATCAAGAGCTTGACCAGGAGTTCGCCAGGGAATTGGCTGAAGCCGCACGCTCCCGGTGCATGGTTGTCACGGGAGACTTCAACTACCTGGACATCTTATGGGAAGAGTGCTTGGCCAAATCTGAACGGTTGCAAAGCTTCCTCACGTGTGGATGAGCGCTATCCGACTCAAGAAGTCTACAGGCCAACAAGAGGTAAAGCGCTGCTCGGCCTGGTACTGGCGACAGGGGACGACCTAATCAGCAACCTAACGATCAAAGGGAAGCTGGGTGACAGTGACCATGAGCTAATCACCTTCACCATCCTCTGAAAAGCTGGCAAGTCAGTCAGCAGTACAGAGGTCCTCGACTTCAGGGGGGTGACTTTGACAAGCTCAGGAGACTTCTCGGTGAGGCCCTAAGGGACCACGACTGCAAGGGAAGAGGAGTCCAGGAAGAGTAGTTTTTCCTCAAGGGAGTGATCCTAGATGCACAAGCTAAGGCTATTCCGTCTCAGAGGAAAGGCAGAAAAAGGACACAGCAGCCCCCTTGGCTCTCCAGGGTACTAGTGGACCTCCTGCATCTAAAAAGAAAGACCTACAAAGGATGGACGACGGGATCCACCTCCAAGGAGGAATACACTGCACTGGTCTGAACCAGGAAAGCCAAGGCTGTGATGGAACTCCAAATGGCTACAAGTATCAAGGACAATAAAAAGTCCATTTTTAAATATGTGGGGAGCCGGAGGAAAAGCAAGGGCAACATTGGACCCCTGCTAAACCAGAAGGGACAACTGATGACCGAAGCCCAGGAAAAAAACAACTTGCTAAATGGGTACTTTGCATCAGTCTTTCACAAGTCCCATGGGATGCTCCTGCCCACTGCGGGGCAGGGAGGCCCGGGTGAGGGTGATTCCTTGCCCTCCCTCAATGCTGACCTCGTGAAGGAACACCTTGAGAAGCTGGACACCTTCAAGTCAGCTGGC